GCTCGCCCGGGCCCGCCGCGCGCGCGCGTGCGCCGCCGCGGGGCCCACGGGCGGCGGCAACAAGGGGGCGCCCGCGCGCTCGAACCGCCGCGGAGAGAGGCGGCCTCCGCGCACGTCGCGCGGGGCGTGGGCTCGACGGCTCGTCGGCGCCGCTGGTGTCTGTTCCTTTCCCCTCCTCCTCCTCCTCCTCCTCCTCCTCCTCCTCATCCTCCTCCTGCTGCTCCTGCTCCTGCTCCTCCTCCTGCTCCTGCTCCTCCTCCCCCTCCTCCTCCTCCTCCTCCTCCTCCTTGGTGGTTCGGTGATGCGGGCGAGTTTGCGTCGAAGCGCCGATGCGCACGAGCCCCCCTCCGCGACCTGTGGGGGGAGGGCGAAGAAAGGTACCTTCTCCTCCTCCTCCTCCTCCTCCTCATCCTTCTCCTAGTTCCTACTCCTCCTCCTTTTAGTTTCTCCTCCCTCCTCCTCCTCCTAGTTCCTACTCCTCCTCCTTTTAGTTCCTCCTCATCCTCATCCTCTTCCACTCCTCCATCTCCACCAGCGGTCTGCAGCGCCTCACCCATGAAGCAGCCGCCAGCTATTTCAGACTGGCCCAATCCCCGAGTTCTCCGATGGGGCTTTGAGTCGGCTGGCCGGCTGGGGGTCGTGGCCAAGCAGTGGTTCCGGCGAGCTGGAAGGGGAGGCGAAGTTCGAGATTCTGGGTTCGAGGAGGTCTTGTATTTTTTCCGCTTCAAGGGGCCGCTTTCGGCCCCCAAGGCCATGAAAAGAGGGCCACGGGTGAAAAAGTGCACCAGAGGGTCCCTCTGAAGGGCCCGAGGACCGATTGAGAGCGGATTTGAAAGTGCCCCCCCCCCCCCCCGTTCTTGACAGGAGTTTCTCGAGGCCCATCCCGTTCGGACCCCCCGGCCGCCTCCAAAATGGGGTCCTGCGTGATCCGGGGGGACGAGAGATGATGAAAGAACGTGACGCGCTCACACCGAAAGTTTGGTCGGGCATGGCCTCCTACAGAGGGATTGTGGACAAAAATAGAAACTAGCAAAACCATGCTCAAACATTTTCAACAATGATCGAAAAATGGTCACCAGTCAATGATTTGACTGTGTTTGAATATTCCTCCTGTAGAGGGACCCGCCCGATTTAAACCTAAAGGCAGGAGGAATGTGGAAGGCCAAGGCGATGCAGGCGCTTCCGGCATGGGTGCGAGTCCCCGGGCCCCGATCGAGGGGTGCTTTACATTTTGAGCGGGGGCACCCGTCCGAAGTTACACGCGCCCACAGCACCCCCCCAATTCCAACCCAAGAACCCTGGGGGTCGCCGAGTTATGGGTGACAGTTGTCAGCGCATGAACAAAAAACGCATAAACACAGGGCCCGACCACAACGATGCTTAAAACTCAATGTGGTTGACAACGAACAACGAAACGAGGCTCAACGTTCAAAACGGACGTTTAAACGAAGCTGGACGCAAACGAAAACGAACGACGAACCGGGGCGTTCAAAACAACATTGAACAACCAAACGAAACAACAACGAACAGCGACACGACAAGCACTACAAGGGCCAAAACCAAGCTAAACAGCTTTGTGGCCGGTCCTTGCATAAACTTAATTAATCTGTGGTCCGCGCTGAGTTCTTGGATCGGCGCTGAATCCTCCTCTTTGGAGTCCCGAAACGGTGCGGTGACAGACCGTGCGGTGACCTCGAAATCTCCAAAGACCTCACCGCACGGTCCGTCAACGGACGGTTTTGGGACCTCAGATGCCCCAAACGCCCGAGACGTCCTCGGAGAACGACCCGAGTCCCAAAACCGTGCGGTGACCCCGTATCCCCACCGACTCACCACACGGTGTGGTCACCGCCCCGTTTGGGGGCTCCCGATCCTCCCTCTGGCGCGCGGCGGAGCCAGAGCCGCTCTCAGGCGTCGATCGCCCTGAGAGGAGGAGGAGGAGGAGGAGGAGGAGGAGGAGGACGAGGAGGAGGGGGAGGAGGAGGGCGTGGAGGGCGAGGACCTCAGAGGCATTCTGCTTTGGCAGTTGTGCGTCCTCCGAAGAGCGGGGCCCCGAGGACACGGGGCCCGACAAAAGTGCATCTCTCGCGCGTGCCAGCAAGCGCATCGTGCGCACGCCATGCGGCGCCGCTCGGCGCGGAGGCCTAAAGAAATAGGCGCGGTTTCTTTTCCTTTCGAGCCTGTCTCCTTCCTCCTTCCTCCTCCTCCGCCTTCCCTCCTCCTCCTCCTCCTCCTCCTCCTCCTCCTCCTCCTCCTCCTACTGGCACTGGCACTGGTGGCCCTGGGGTCGCGCACGACGCGGCCTTCTTTTCCTCCTCCTCCTCCTCCTCCTCCTGCTCCTCATCCTCTTCTGCCGACTCGCGGTCGGGCCTGAAAAGGGCGCCGCGCCAGATGGTGCAGGGCAAGGATACACTGGAGGCACCCCGGCGCACACATAGTTGCCCGAGGGCGGGCCGGAGAATCAAGCACGCGAGGGCGGGCACGAGAATCAAGCACGCGCACTTCCCTCATGGCAGCCACAGCCAGAAGGATTCGAGAACAGCGGTGCGTCGCCAGAACGCACCCCAGGGAAGTCCGGAGTCACGAGAGGAGCCAACACGTGCAACCGTGCGAGGGTGTCCTCTGTGTGTTGAGGGGCCGCCGCAGCTGTGCGTCGAAGGGCGGCTGTCCTGCAAGGAGCGGCCTGGGCAAGCCGGCAAAGTTTTCAGCGCACGCGCGGGGCACGCTGGTGACCGGTTTCTGCTTCGGCGCTTCGACCTTGGGCGGAATGGGGGGGGAGGGGGGGTCTGGCTCTGGACCTCTGCTTCGTGCGACTATTTGCGACAGTGCGTCCTGGGGGAGAGACCCCTCTGGCTTGGAACAGGTGCCAAAAAACAGCCAAGACTTCTGTTGCTCGCATCGTACTTAAGAGGAGCCAACACGTGCAACCGTGCGAGGGTGTCCTCTGTGTGTTGAGGGGCCGCCGCAGCTGTGCGTCGAAGGGCGGCTGTCCTGCAAGGAGCGGCCTGGGCAAGCCGGCAAAGTTTTCAGCGCACGCGCGGGGCACGCTGGTGACCGGTTTCTGCTTCGGCGCTTCGACCTTGGGCGGAATGGGGGGGGAGGGGGGGTCTGGCTCTGGACCTCTGCTTCGTGCGACTATTTGCGACAGTGCGTCCTGGGGGAGAGACCCCTCTGGCTTGGAACAGGTGCCAATGTCGCCTCCCAGAAATAAGTTCGAGCACCCAGAAGAGTGTCGAAACAGTGACGAACGAATGTCGCCTCCCAGGGCGCGACACGTGAAAACCCTCAAACGTCGGTACTGTGTCGGTGCTCGAAATTATTCCTGATGGTCAATGCTAAAAGTAGGTTGGAACATCGTAAACCAAGATCTGCTCCATAGGGGGGGAGAGGGGGGTTGCGAAGGCCCGCGCTGATCGGTAAAACCATGAATAAGAAAACGATCTCCTGGACAGGCCTGGCGCGTGCTGCTCCGTGCGTGCGCAGGAGGGGGGCGGGGAAACCAGGCCAGCCTTAGGTCGGGCACGTCCTCCTGCAGGAGGATTCTCGACGCAACATAAAACATACTCAACAGAGATCCCCCCAAAACCCAAAACATGTTGTAAAGAGCGCCCCCAGACTATTTTCTGACTATTCGTGAGGATTCCTCCAGCACGAAGGACAGGCCCGACTTGAGGCTGGCCTCCGTGCAGGAGCGCGCGCCTCTCGGGCACACGCCAGGCCCGCGGAGGCAGCGGTGCCCAGGGGTCGCTCGGGGCCCCTTTTGGTGCCTTCTCCCCCCGCATCGGTTGCCCCCCCGTTGCCGTCCGCCCGGCTTCAGCGATGGGGAGGTGGCGAGACGGTCGGAGGAGTTGTGCTCGATCACTGGGCAGGCACTCGTCGGTAGGAGGAAGCAGGCACACGCATGAAGCAGGAAGGCGGACACAGTAGATTTCGGATTCAGGTCCGCACATAGAATAACAACACACGCAGCAGAAGCAGACCGAGACTTGAAGTAGGACGGAGGCTTAAACATGGATGATCTGGGGAAACCAAAAGGTACCGATACCGCTAGTCCCCGCGGACCTCTCCTGGGGTGTTTTCTGACCTAGATTTCGAGGCGAATCCAGCGGTAGGGGACGATGGCCGCCCAGGAGGCCTGAAAAGGGGAAAACGAGGCGAGGATAAAAGTATTGGTATCTGTTCCTCCTATGAGGATCTGGGGGTCCAGCACGACCGACCTTTGACGACCAGCGTGTGCGTCACCGAAAACAGCACCAGCGCAACTGCGGTCCAGAAGCAGAAGGGGGCTCACAGAGAATAACAAAACACGCAACAATCCCAGGAGCAGAAAGGGGCCCGTCTTCGTTGAGCATCGCTTAACCTACCCCTATCCCCAAGGGCGTGGCCTGGGCCACACGGGCCGAGCTACCCTCCCAGAAAGGGGATAGGGGTTGTTTCCTTCGGGCCTCGAAGGGAAATACCCCCAACTGGCGTGCCGAGATGGTGGGGGCCCGGAATGGGATAGTTGAGCAGGGACCGACCGTCCTGGCATTCCTAGTTAGTCCTGCCACGAAATGTCCTTAGAACCCGAACATGTTCGAATAACAATGTTCTTAGAACATGAGCCCGATGTGTTAAAGCAAGACAGAGTCCGCCAAAAAATGTTCTAAGAACATTTCGTGGGAACCACAAAAGATTCTTAGAACATTGTTTGGTATACCTATATGCACGCCAAGCCGCTTCGCCACTGCTCGAGATGGGGATGGGCATACAGTGCGGGCGCGGACGCAAGAAACCCTCGCAAGAAACCCAACCCTGAGAACCCGCGCGCGAGGTACACCTGAAGAGCAATCCGCAGCACCCTGAACGCAGCAGCTCTCTCAGCGGCTGCGGGAAGTCACCGAGCGCAGCGCGAGGAGCGAGGAAACCCAGGATGCCCCGACGAAAAGCAGATGCTTCCTTGATGCGCGCCCCCACTGTCAGGGGCTCGGTGAAATGATGCCGACTCCTTCTCCTCCTCC